AGAGACGTTAACCATTATGCGACACTGAAACAAGGGCTACATAAGGTCTAATAATATCAATGAGACATATCCAACTAACAATACTTCATTCCTAAAAGTAAAAGCGAGAATTTTCCATGTATAAAATCTAATGATAGTCTTGAAAACCTACTTTTAATTGAAAAAATGGTAAATTATTGCTATTGAAAGGGGCTTCATAGATAAGTTAGTTATCTATACTAATCAAAATAACTAATGAGAAAATATATTCTAGAATAGGAGTAAATACAAAGAACATTATTGCTTTATTAGCATCTTTATAACTAAGCGTTATAAAATTATTTGCTAAGGAAAAAGATAGAGATTTACCTTAAAAAGTTAATTTTCTACCATATTTTTTTACTTCTGTTATATCCAAAATGGCATAGCATTGGATGCTGAAGAGATATTTTTGCCTTAAAAAGTTTGTGCATCAAATAGTCAATACTCATTATTGCTGCGAGATCTTAGGCCCCTGTGTGGTGATTTGAAAAAACATTTGTGTTATTTGAGCATCTCCAAAAGGATTCTTAAAGAATTTAAGTGGGTGAAACTGGAGTAGAAAAAAAGTTACTTTTATAAAATACAGTAAATATGGATTTAGTGGGTCTCTTTGCCAGCGAAAGTGGCTAAATTACAGAAAGGTGGTTTCAAATAGATTCAAAATAGCCAAACGAAATGAATAGCCCGCATTTTAGAAAAACTAAGATGAGTTACTAGTACTCTTGGTCAAAATTTAACTAATTCAGAATTTTCTCAGGGGTTTGACATGAACTAATTTAAATTTTGTTTCTAATCTTATTCATGCATACAACGATTTTATGACCATTACTATCCTTCTTTGATGTTTTGAGGGCCGAGTAAATATTAAATGTTGCTAAATAATTCTTAAAAATTCGTATTTAATAATAGTCCTTAAATGTCGGTCTTTTATTGATTTAAGTTATCTGTAAAATATCTATAAACTTGCTTAAAAATATTTAGATGCAGTTATGCTCCATAGATGCAGGAAAAATTCAAGAGAATTTAATCAGGTATTGAACTACAAATGTTGATGGACTAGTATTTATTAAGGAAATCAAGGAGTCTAATAGTTTACATTAAGAAGATAAAAACTAAAGGCAGCCAAAGTAAAAAAAATAGCCTGGCATCGAATTGTTAACCTTTCTCATAAATGATTGTGACATCAATCTTTCCTGTAGCTACAAATATTGAAGCATTCTATGATAGGGTTAATAAAAGCCTTATTTCTGTACTTTTTAATTTAGAATATATTTGCTTAGGAAAGCAATTCAAAGTTGTATGTGTGTAGGAAACTATGAGAGTTCATGTGAACTAAATTTATTAAGGACGACTTTATATTATGTTTTAAATGTTTGACATTGCATAGTGACCAGAAATGCAAAACATAAAATAGACTAAATTTGTCATTTAGCTTAAGTATGGATCAATTTTTAAGCTAAATCATATCTAAAAATATATTTTACAAATAAGGATTTACACTTTTCTTAAATTATTAAGTAACCTACTCGTTGGCTTGATGCATCTCAAGTGGCCGATCGCAAGAGATGCAGTGAAAGTGTTGCAATAGTTTCTTGCGAAGTCCAGCCGCTTCATCATCACCAACAGGTATACTCGTCAAGTTTGTGGCGCCCTGAGAACTAGCAGCACGCTGACGTAGACGGTTAGCCAATTGTTTTAACTTCTTTTCTAGCCAAATACGAAGCTCCTCCATTTCATCTTTGTCTAGTTTTTGTTGCAGCGTTTTAGAAAGCTCGTCATAAAGAAGACGCAGATCGGAGTCCTGTAGAGACAAAAAATAGAGATGGATGAGCTTAAATAATTCACCTAGAAGGATGAATTTGAAGTAAAGTTCATATTAAAGGAGAGAAGAGTGAGCAAATTAAATAAAGGCATCCATTTT